TTCCCTCCTTCCTATTCTCCTTCCTCTCCTCTCTCCCTCTCCCTCCTCCCTTCTTCCTATTCTCCTTCCTCTCCTCTCTCCCTCTCCCCCTCTTTCTCTCCACCTATTCTCTCCCCCCTTTCCATGTATCCCTGGTTGACCTCTTTTCCTCTCCCTCTTTCTCTCCTTTCTCTTGTCCTCTGTCCCCCTCTTTCTCTGCCTTTATCCCATTCCCCAAGACCCCGTACCTTCCTCACAAATAAACTCCCTTTTATATTAGGCCCGTTGCATGGTTGGACTGTTCAGGGGGACACCTTGGTAGGGCCCACTAGGGCCCTGCCTCGCAGTTTATAAAACACAACAATGGGGACTGAACTCAGGTCACTGCACTTGAGAGGCAGGCAGCCTTACTTGCTGAGCCATCTTGCTGGCTCTTTTACAATGAACAAAAGAGGCTGGCACTCTCTGGAGACAGTGTGCCAGCTACATGTTCCTGTAACTAAGCACAAACACCCACTAAATTCCCAGGACTTCTGTGCCTCATTGGAGGTCCAAACTGTGTCATTCAGGAGGCTTGCCACCAGAGGACTCAGCTGAGTGAAGAATGTGACTTTGGTCACCACAGTGATTTTGTTGATGCAATTCCTGGGTGTATGTTGGTTGAATGGAAGCCATGAGCTAAGCCCTCCTGATGTTCAGTGACTCTAGGTGAGCTCTGTTTCTAGGTAGCATGTCCTGATAATACAGCTCTTCAGCTCTCTCAGATCCCTGAGCAGTCACAAAGGGGAGCGGCCAGAGACTCTTCCAGGTTCTGAGAGGCTTGGCATAGACTCTGTGGCTGCTTGAAAGCTTTGTGGTATTTCAAGGTTTTCAGGGAAGAAAGGAAAGCAGAGCGTGTTTACTTTTTTTATGGCTTGGAACTGCAGCTTCTGACTTCTGCCATTCTAACTGACCTGGGCAAGGCGAAATTCCTGGAAGGAACGAGTGTATTCTCTCAGAGAACACATTGTATCCAGCGTCCTATTGTCTTTGCAACAAGTTACTGTCTATGTGGTTTTAAAACTGATGTTGCCATATTAAATTAGGCAGATTAATAAGAAAGAAATGCTTTTGATTTTTTTGTTTTGTTTTTTTGTTTTTTGTTTTTTGTTTTTTGTTTTTGGTTTTTGGTTTTTCGAGACAGGGTTTCTCTGTGTAGTCCTGGCTGTCCTGGAACTCACTCTGTAGTCCAGGCTGGCCTCGAACTCAGAAATCTACTTGCCTCTGCCTCCCAAGTGCTGGGATTAAAGGCGTGCGCCACCACCGCCTGGCTGTTTGTTTGTTTTTGAGACAAGGTTTCTCTACTTAGCCCCAACTGTCCTGGAACTCACTCTGTAAACTAAGCTGTCCTCAAATTCAGAGATCTGCCTGCCTCTGTCTCCTTGTGGTGACGGTGCTGGGGTTAAAGGCTACTGCCACTGTGCCTGGTGAGATGCTAATTTTAAAAACCATGCATGGTGATGATCTATTATCTAGCTCATTCAGATACGTTCCTCATGTTTTTCTTCTCTGCCAAGGCAGTGCCATTGGGAGGTGACAGAGGTGACAGGCAGACAATTCCACTGTCCTGTGTTAGTGAAAGGTCAGCAAAGGTGTTACCTGGATTCCCAGGGTGGCTCTTATTTTCGCAGTGAGGAGGGACTTGGGAGGTATTTTAGGAGACGTGATACCTGGAGTTGCTGTTTAAAACGGTGTCAGTATTGTTCTGAGGCATGCATTCAACTTTTAAAAGAAGAATGGTGAAGTGTGGTTGCTCATGTCTTTAGCCTCAGAACTTGAGAGGTACAGGCAGGTGGATCTCTGTGTACAGGCCAGCCAGAGCTACATAGTAAGTTCACGGCCAGGCAGAGGTATATAGCAAGTTCCAAGGCAGGCAGAGGTACACTACACAGTGAGTTCCTGTCTCAAAAAGAAAAACCCAAACAAAACAAAACAACAACAACCAAAACAAAACAACAACAAACCACCCAAAAGATAGGAATGAAGAGTGGAGCTGGGCTAAGGCTGGGTGGGAGATCTTTTACCTTGTACAAGCACCAAACAAGCAGAGGTTAGAAAGGTAGAGAGGGGTGTGGGAAGGGGAGGGCCAAAGAGCAGGAAGGGAGAGAAGAAAATATTTTTTTCAAGGGTCAAATAGGCGTCAGCCAAACAAGCAAGAGCCACCTTCAAAATCCGGCACAGGCCCTACTGTATTTATTCTACTTCTTGCAATTATTTAGTGACTTTGATATATATATATATATATATATATATATATATATATATATATATATA